TGCAAAACAGGCAAATAAAGGTTGAACGTTATCGTGTGTACATATATCTTAATATGTTATTGTATGTAAATAACAGTGCGCGACAAGGGAAAACAAATAAGCGTGGAAAGGTAATTGGCGAGTAAATAGCTTAGCAGAAAGGTTGACATAAAAATTTAAAACAAGATGCAGGCGTGTTTACATATATAGAGCTTGGAGAAGAAAAGGTACATATGTGTGTGCATTAGGGTTGCAGATAGAAAATTAAAAAAATTTCGTGCAGATTCCACCTAAAATGAAAAAGTTGTCCATACAAGCACTTCATTCTTGTCGCGCAATTTGTATGGCAGCTATATGCTATAGTGATCCGATCTTMATAATTTTTCATTGGATCATACCACTGCCTGAGACAATAACCTATAACGAATTTCGTGCATATATCTAAAAATATGAAAGAGTTGTTCATACAAGGTTTTGATTCCTATCGTGCAGTTTGTATGACAGCTATATGTTATAGTGGTCCAATATCAGCAGTTCTGACATATGAGCAATTTTTTGCCAAGAAAGGAATGTACGCAAAATTTGAGTTCGATAACTCAAAAACTGAGGGACTAATTCGAGAAACTTTTAGGGTTTAGGACGTTTTCAAACTTCGTCACACTATTCAGGATATAAAAAAAATAAGTAATGCAAAATTTTTCTTGCCTAAACCCTTAATTGGCTTTATAAGGTACAAAGTTATATACTAATTGTTTTCTTCTTACAATATTTTTAAGGTGTGTCGCACAGCCGAAAAAAATGTGCCACCCTATGAAGCTCAAAATARGAATCGATTACCAGAAAAAGKTACATTTCAGTCAAAATTTTGGTAACGATTAGAGGATGCTAGGACATTCTAAGTTTCGGATGCATTGTTTTGATTGCGCTGGGGGTGTTAATATGTCTCTCCGGTAGGCTTTGGTCTCTATCTGAACTGTGTCGATTTTATAATTTATTTATACTACACCTCTTCTAATAGAAAAGAGTAGAAGTTGCCGAAACTTGCTGTGCCAATATTTGCCTGCATTAAAGAACTACACTAATGTGCAAAGAAAAGTCAATATAGCTACATAAGTACTCATAGGGCGTAAGCCTATACTTCATCCTAAGATCCAGCGCAAAGTATTTGTGTGTGGCCACAGCAAAAAAAAAAAAAAATCAATAATAATATTTCTGTGGTTTTCGCCTACAAAGGGCGTTTACTATGTTTGACAATATGTTGCTCGAAACCGCCGTAATAGTGACAAATTGTCTAGCTTGTACGCCGCACGGCGACATTGAACGTTATGAGTCGTAGGGTTTACTGTGGGTGTGGGGAACCGTGTTAAATTTTTTTTTAGTTAGGGGCTGGCCAGGCGTTATGGGTGCGACAGCGCTGTTGATAACAAAGTAGAGGCTCATATTTTTCAAATTTGTTGCTGGCATAATATTTGCTTTTGTTCTATTTGGGTAATTACTCATCAGCGCATAAGCGAGGTGGCGGCATGTGCTCACCTAAGCGCATACACAAATTTATGTGCTCACATACATTATGGTAGATGCATATGCCCTTTCATATGTGTAACCTTCATAGCGGCTTTATTTAAATCCAACATTATTACAGTTATTTATTGCTGATTTTATAGCAATTTGTAGACTGGCTGCTAGTCTCGCAGCCAAGCGCTGTGCTTTCACGAAAGCTTTCACTAGTTTTGTGATTGTAAGCTACTATTATGCAGTTCTCGATTTGATTTCGAAAACGAGCTTTTGAAAAGATGATATAAATWATTCGAAATTTTTGAAAAAGGTTTTGGAACTTAGTTTCTAAAAACTTTTTAAAGATTTTCTTGAATGAAATTAGTTTTTAAGATATATTTCTAAATTTTTTTTTTTTACATTAAATTAGTTTTCAAAATCTATTTTTATAGCAATTTGCAGTCTTGCCAGCAGGCGCTGAGCTTTCACGAAAGCTTTCACTGGTTTTGTGACTGTAAGGTACTGTTAAGCAGTTCAGGGCTTGATTTCGAAACGATCTCTCGAAAATTGTATAGAAAAGAGCACTATTTTTTGGAAAAATGTTTGGGAATTTAGTTTTAGAAGCCTATTTTTAGATACTCTTAAATGAAATTAGTCTTTAAAATCTATATCTAAAATTTCTTAACTGAAATTGGTTTTCAAAATCAATTTCCAAAAATTAAATGAAATTAGTTCTTAAAAATCTATTTTTATAATAAACATCCTTATAGCAAAATATGCAAAAAWTTTTCAAATTTATTATAAATATTTTTAAAAATTTCAGTCTCGATGATCCTAGCTCAATTTTGTATATACTCTTTGCATTAAGCTATTTCAAACACAAGCATTGTTTTCTCAACATATTTTCTTGTTATTTTAGCATGCAACAGTGCACCGTATTGTTGTTTTTCGTAGTTAGCTGTTGTTTTTAAGAATGTTTAACACTTTCTTATTGCTAATGTCGATGTTGTCATTCTTGCATTACGATATCTTGTTGTTTTCTTTGTCATATCGGCGCTAACAAGCAATGTCAACATGTCGGCAAACCATAAAAGAATTTTTTGTTTTCTTTCTTCTCTACTGCTGCGAAACAAAAAACACACCAACAAATAGACAATGGGTATTTAAATCGAAAATWAACATTTTAGAAGGGAAAAGTGCGCAAATAAAAGACAACAGGTTAGTTTTGAGTACAAAAGGCAATGACTATCTTGTGTAAAAGAAACAATTGGAAAATTGTTGGAAATTTAAGAGATTGCCGGCTGCTTTAAAACACTGAACACGTTAACAAAAACTAGAAAACTCCTCAGGAACAAACGACTTACATATACCTTGTGACATTATAACGGTAGCAAGGATTAGGCTCATCAAGGTACTGGTGGAAAGAAATATGGCGGTACGCTGATGCAGATGGATAGAGGCTGTGATGCGTAGTAGGATAGCTGAAACCACTGTTGGGAAGAGTAAGATTCGACATGTTACTAAGAAGGGCTGACCACAAGGTGGATTTCTATCTGGAACCTAGTACTAGTTGAGCTCTTTGAGTTGCTCAGAAATAAACGGATTCGGACCAAATGTCAGTTGTCATTGAAATGATGGCATGAGATAAACTCAAAGTGGCTTAAGGCTTCATTTAATTAAAACTTTCCAGAGCCCCCAAGGCACTCGTAATATACAGATGCCTAGCCGGAAGATTCCGTGGTTTGAAATAAGGTATCATCAGGTTTCAATATACTATGATCGTAAGGTCTTACTTATGGAGCTRTTGCTGGAACATCAAAGGCAGCGCAGTGTTCGTTAGGCCTTCAGMTATCATAGCTGCAAGGACTCGCCTGCGTAAGTAATTCCACACTCGACCTACTATTGATGGGMMGCWCTATCCAGTGGTATACTGACGGCTCGAAAACATCGGAAGACATTAGACCAGGCAATGTGGGACCGCATACCAWACTATGCATAYCAACGGGATGTTTTCTGAGCATCTTTCAGACAGAAGCCGTTGAAGCAGTGTGAAAAACGCTAAGCTACTACTGAGAGGTTACAACCTCGCTAGGTTCAGAGATACATATGATCAACCTCCCCCGAGACAAATTCCATCTAATTATCTAACATGGCATAGTCTTCTGCGCAAACTGCTGGTTTTGCGACAAAGAACAGGMAACTCCAGGACACCTGATTCTCGATTGCTCAGCAATTTGTAGAACCAGGCTCAAGGCTCTAGGTTCCATCTACGTGAACAGGGATTACWTAACCTCAGACGCGGYCAGCTAGTTCCTRGAATTATTCARAGTACTGGACCTYTGTGACCATATGCGATATAGGAGATGGCAGAATAGATCACAGGTCGCAGTGAAAAACCTTAATTATTTTCAATTTCTCTCTCTAAGGCTTATGATGCGGTCTGAATGAAAGCGAAGCGAATACAATATAAGCCTTAGCGAGTGCATATACATTTTGGACTCATTATAGGCAATTTAAATTTGCTACGAAGTTTGTGAGCAGACGGCGGAGACACTATATCGTCCCTAGTCTCTCAGTTTTTAAAATCTTTCTCAGAAATCTTGTACCAAGAACCTGCTAAATTTTCGGAACCACCAATAAGCAGCTTCAGTAAGTGGTGCTGGTTTGACCCCCACAYCCCTTGACTACAACACAAAAAGTCCGACGTGTTAGGAAATTTGTAGTATCAATTAGTAAGAAACAGCCTCTTCGCCCCAGTCAAATCACAGTCGCAAAATGACTGCAAAATTAGTGATATTAGCGCTGCCAAAAATGTAGAAAAATTTTCTTGTAACAGCTGTCAACCCTGACATTTAATATCAAATTTATTTTTTGCGCACAAAAATACTAAAAATTCTCAGTGCTACATATTTACAGTCAAACCGCATGTAAACTGTAGTATATAAGTCCATAAAGAATTRTAATTCATAATGCAATATTTTTATTCGCAATCTGTTTAACTTGCTATAGACCAAAACTTTGTCTATCTCACTTCTTACCAAACAACTTCCAGCCAAGCTATACAGCTTTGCAATTCATTAAATGAGTATACTACTATTAACAACCCAACTGACGGTCCAAACAATTTACGATATTAACGCTAAGCGCACATTATGAGCTTAAGAACGAAATGTGTGACAGCATGGCGCTCATAATGGAGAAATTCAAATTATATATGCATATATACATATATCTAAGTATATTTTATATTTAATGAAAACCTGTAAGCGCTTGCGAGCTCGCATGACTCATTGAATCGTCAAAGCGGCAGCGCGCTTAATAGACTTAACGACATAAGTACACGACTGAATGACACTAAGCGTTCGCTGATCGGATAAGATACCTGCATAATAAATAAATAAATGCGTGTTTTGCTTCCTTTATGCAGCAAATTAAGAACATGAGCACCGCACTATAATGATATTTCCTTATTAAATTGCCATAACTAATAGTTTAATTGGTATAAAACCAGTTTTACAAGCACTTACCTGGATTATGTCTGTGGATTGTCAAGCGTTTAGAATGGCTGGCTGCGGCGGCTGAAAGAAAAAAAGCAAAAAAATAATTATAGAATATATTTTTTGAAGACTCAAGTGCATATATGAGATATGTGTGTGAAATATCTCGCTTATGGCAATGGCGTATGCAGCAGAATAAAAGCTAACACAAAATCAAGAATACAATAAAGCAGAAAAAACAAAAAGTAATAATAATTTACGCTTTTATTGTTATAATGCCACTATTTTCATAGACAACTGTGCTTATACATATGTATATATATATAATACATACATATATGTATGTCTACATTGTTGCTACATATTAGCACACTATTCGATTATTTACGATATTTCGCGTTTACTTAGTGGTTAATACCCTTAACCGGCCGATAATGCTGCTAATGATTTTTTGTTGCTTGGCAAAAGTGGTTGCACAGCAAGAGTAACAACAAATTTTATCTAAATAGCTAGGCCGATCGACACTCCAATTAGCCATGCAGCCGACGGATAGTCTCTTGTTGACTTTGTGTATAACAAACGCTTTGGCAGCGAGCTGCTTTGCCCCACCGCCCACTGCCGTGCAATTTCGCTTTTGTAGCGTTCAATAGCGATTGCTTGTTAAATTTTTCTGTTGATTTGTTGCTTACAGGAAATGTTGAGCTGTTTACTCTTTTTTTCGCATTTTTTCCTACTTATTGTTGGTTTTCTATTTGATTAAGCGTTTGACGAATAAACTCAATATTTGCGTTAAGTTAGCAATAGTAGTAGACTGACTGACTGAAATCTTTGTTTGTTAGATCGAAGGCTAGACTGATTGGCTGTTTAATAAATAACACGCGACGAACAAGTGATAGTTTGCACTAAGGCACACCCGGTATGCCTACGGGGTGTACAAAGCGTAGATGGGTTAGTGAGAGTTAAAACAAGAAACAGAGTTAAGTTTAGCAGCACCGAACGCTTTACAGATGTATTTCTTATGTTATAAATGGTATACCTGATTTTTGCCTTGATTTTGTTAGCGCTTTTTATATGGCAGATATATGCTACAGTTGTTCGATCTGATCAGTTTTTGAGTATAATGTAGCAACGCTTTGGACAATAATCTGTACCAAATTTCGTTACGATATCTTATCAACTGCACKCCACACACTGGTCTTTAATATCGAAAGGGTTCTTGAACATAAGGCATACACTCTTGGGAGCATTCCTGCACATTTGTGGAGAGTTCAACAACGTCTCTACGGAATCTATGCTRAATAGTATTTAGTCAATAGGTCATATGATCAGAAGCCTTTTGACCTCCAGATTGATAAGATCAGAATAGAACGATGGTAAAATGAACAAGGAAGTATGTAGAGGTACTCCCCACGATGGAATGCTATCTCCGCTTCTACGGCCATTAGTGGTGAATAAAGTGCTAAGGGATTTGAAAGGCAAAGCCCCTCAGATGGTGAAATAAGCCAGCGAGATTGCCATCTTAATAAGGGATAGGTGCTTACAGACCTTTGGCAGTAATATCGGCACCACTCTCAATMCAGTCCAGAACTGGGCATCGCAAGCAGCTCTAAGGTTACACCCGAAGAAAARGAATATGCTCTCAACGACCAGAGCGAGTACCTTGGGGTAGYTTTAGACAGCAAACTGYTTTGGAAGCACAACGTGGAAGAAAGAGAGAGGAAAGCCAGCAATGCTTTATATGTATGTAAGCAGATGCTCAGCACAACTTGGATGCTCTTTCGTTTTCTCATGCACTGGTACTACACAGCTATTGTTAGACCAATACTGCTCCACGGTCGAGTAGTATGGTGGACAGGCGTACCGGAAGCCAGTGGAAAGGATTCAGACGCTAGAGACGCTTAAAAAAAAACATCAAAGGCGGCTCTTTAACTGATACTAAATCCACCTATAGACTTCTTCGCTGAAAACTGCGCAGCAAAATCGGCAAGCCGACTACTGCCTGCAGTAGTAATTACATATAGAAGCTGCGGGCATAACTCGGTGTGTAATGGCAGTTGGGCAAAGATCGACTACATGACCCCACTTTTCAACTGGGAAAGAAGGTTCAAACTAAACAAAGATAAAGATGGCTGGCAGAAGTATGTTACGCGTAGCCGGTCCACTGCAGTATATTACAAGCTGATGCTCTTGTTATTGTGAAATGAGTGAAGCTGGCCTCTAATCCACCTGTAGGCAGTTCGAGAGTCAACATCTACATATACGGCCAAGCAGCTTTCAGGCAGTTACCTCGTATAACATATCGTACAAAAGTGTGTTGGGAAGCAGGGCAGTAGTGGAAAGTGTTACCAGAAGTAAGCAACTTCACTTATAATGGGTGTCAGGCCAGAACGGCTACGAGTACACTGAAATAGTAGACGAGATTGCCAAGAATAGTGCACGGCTAACAACCGAAAACGTGGCAATATAACGACATTGGGAAATCCTTGCTTTGTCTATACGACGATCTGAACATAAGTAAGCATGGTAAAGAAAATAAAAATCCGATGGAACGAGCTAACTGGGTGAAAAACTGCTAATGCYATGTGTAAAACGGTAGAACGGAATTGTACAAAATTGCCATTGGCACGCAATAGAAGAGACTGAAGGAACTTGATGGGAATACTAACTGTTCACTAGCTGGTGGCGACACGTCGGCAGAATGAGGCTGACAGATCGAGAAGACGGCAGAGCAAGGCTCCAGGGAAACAATGGCACATCTCTTGTGCACTTGTCTCGAGTTAAATTTTTTTTTTTTTTTGGTTAAATAAAGCTTAAAATCTCACCTTTCCAACACTATAAGGCATGACACAATGTGATCGGTAGCACTGGAGATATACGACTGTAACAATACTTCGTACTTAAAAAAAAAAAATAATAATAATAAAGTTCATTTTGCGGAGAAAATAAAATTTTAAAATAGTTTTTTTTTGCTAATTTCAAACTATTTCCAATTTAAAAAAGGTAACGTAAGACAACTGTAAATAAGCACTTAGCTTTTTTGTTGTATTTTACCGCTTATATGTGNGGTAACGTAAGACAACTGTAAATAAGCACTTAGCTTTTTTGTTGTATTTTACCGCTTATATGTGCATAAATTGCCGTTTTGGCGGCAATTCAGCGGCGAATGACATGTTCTTGACTTTTGTTCGACTTCTTAATATTGATTTCAAACCCCAGTGTTTGTTTGTGTGTGTGTTTGCTTGCCTCTTTTTTTTTTTTTTTGCGTCAACACTGCTATAACAGTTTGTGGCAATTTCTTGGCTATTTTTTGTGTAATTTGTGTTTTGCAATTTACTTGTCGCTTTGTGAAATGCCGCAAACTGCCGCGCGTCAGTGGCCAGAATTAGAATTCCACCACACACTGTCASAGCCGTAAGTACAATGCGAGTGGTAATTTGTTTGAATGGATTTCATGCATATCTCAGCAAGGGGCTGGACGGCGCGCACAAACAATGATAAATGGAACAGCAAAACACACACATATACATACTGTATGCACAACCCCACAGAGACGAAAAAATAATGGAAATAAATTAGCTGCTAAGCTCAGCTAGAAAAAATGTGGGCAAAACAGTAAAAAAAAAAAGAAACAAAAAACTCAATACACGCGCCAGAAATTGCACCTCTTTCGGAGGACCCGACCCCAAACCGACATAGTGACAACAAAACAAACAACAATAACAGCAACAGTGAACCTTAAATGCCCACCCCTTGCGGCTAACTAACTATTTAAACGCAAATACGTGTACTTACTAAGCAGCTAGGCATGTGAGCGTAGCTATTTGGCGGTGGGTGTGTTGTTTTCTTGGCTCTTGGCTTTTCGAAATTTAATTTACTTGAATAATATAGCGGTGACACAACACGAAATATCAGCTGATTTGCGGCAAAGGCACGCAACACACCGCGGCAGCTACATAATACCGCTATATATATATCATATACATATATGTGTGTGAATTTGTTTGAAGGTATGCATGTGTGCCTGTGTGTGTTAGCTTATGACTGCCTGCCTGCCTGCCGGTCTGTTTGCGCGCCGGCTGTTCGCCTGACTAGCTGTTGAAGCGTTTCGCGACAGACTTGCTGGCACCAAAATCAAACGAACTAAAATAGCAACAACAACACATCAACTAATATACACTTATACGTGTGAGCGCATATATGCACATRAGCTTGTGTGCTGCATTTCGCTTGAACAAGCTACAATTTAGTCATGTACCTATACATACGTGTGGTTGTTAGGGTGTGTGTGTGTGTGCCTATAGTTTACTCGCTTGTATGGACGTCAAATTGTGCAACCAAGCGTAAAATAAAGCCAAGCTAAGCAAATGAAAGCAGCAGCAACGAAAAGAGAAAACACCAACAAAAAACAACAACAACAAAAGGCTTAAATCGGCAGCAAAACGAAAAAACAACAACAACTGACACAAGAAGAAAGATAAAAACAACAGCAACAAAAACAACAACAGCGATGAAGAAAACTACAACAACAAGGAAAACAACAATCACTACTAGAACAATAACAAAAACAAMAACAAACATAAAAGCAACAACAATCACAAGAATAACGAAAAACAACAACAACAACTTATAGCACAAAGACAACAGTCAACAGCATATAGCATGCACATAAGCACACCAACACATACTTAACTCCATATGAGCAGTTTAGGTACRCTTGAAGAAAGCGCAGCAAAACAACCTTTTCTTCGAATTTCACTCACCTGACAAGCAAGCAAGCAGTCCCTCTACTTGACATTTGAGCAATTTGTATAACCTAAAAAACCGTTGACGCTACAAACTGTTGTGCAAAACGTCTCACTACAGCAATGTACATATAGTATATGTATGTATGTAAATATGCATWTACACGTATATATGCATATATAGCACCTATTAGTGCCTGCGTGTGTTTATGCACAAGCAAATGTAAGTAATGCTTTTGTTTTTTTTTTTTGATTTTGATTTGCTCATGCAGCTTCTATTACTTCAGCTTGGCTGCACCTAACCCGATACCAAGGCATATAAACCTACATATTATGTAC